AGGGGGCGCTCCCGCACAGGGTGTGTTCTCCGGTGTCAGCCGCCCGCCAGCAGGGGGCGCTCCCGCACAGGGTGTGTTAGCCGGTGTCAGCTGCCCGCCAGCAGGGGGCGCTCCCGCACAGGGTGTGTTAGCCGGTGTCAGCTGCCCGCCAGCAGGGGGCGCTCCCGCACAGGGTGTGTTAGCCGGTGTCAGCTGCCCGCCAGCAGGGGGCGCTCCCGCACAGGGTGTGTTAGCCGGTGTCAGCTGCCCGCCAGCAGGGGGCGCTCCCGCACAGGGTGTGTTAGCCGGTGTCAGCTGCCCGCCAGCAGGGGGCGCTCCCGCACAGGGTGTGTTAGCCGGTGTCAGCTGCCCGCCAGCAGGGGGCGCTCCCGCACAGGGTGTGTTAGCCGGTGTCAGCTGCCCGCCAGCAGGGGGCGCTCCCGCACAGGGTGTGTTAGCCGGTGTCAGCTGCCCGCCAGCAGGGGGCGCTCCCGCACAGGGTGTGTTAGCCGGTGTCAGCTGCCCGCCAGCAGGGGGCGCTCCCGCACAGGGTGTGTTAGCCGGTGTCAGCTGCCCGCCAGCAGGGGGCGCTCCCGCACAGGGTGTGTTAGCCGGTGTCAGCTGCCCGCCAGCAGGGGGCGCTCCCGCACAGGGTGTGTTAGCCGGTGTCAGCTGCCCGCCAGCAGGGGGCGCTCCCGCACAGGGTGTGTTAGCCGGTGTCAGCTGCCCGCCAGCAGGGGGCGCTCCCGCACAGGGTGTGTTAGCCGGTGTCAGCTGCCCGCCAGCAGGGGGCGCTCCCGCACAGGGTGTGTTAGCCGGTGTCAGCTGCCCGCCAGCAGGGGGCGCTCCCGCACAGGGTGTGTTAGCCGGTGTCAGCTGCCCGCCAGCAGGGGGCGCTCCCGCACAGGGTGTGTTAGCCGGTGTCAGCTGCCCGCCAGCAGGGGGCGCTCCCGCACAGGGTGTGTTAGCCGGTGTCAGCTGCCCGCCAGCAGGGGGCGCTCCCGCACAGGGTGTGTTAGCCGGTGTCAGCTGCCCGCCAGCAGGGGGCGCTCCCGCACAGGGTGTGTTAGCCGGTGTCAGCTGCCCGCCAGCAGGGGGCGCTCCCGCACAGGGTGTGTTAGCCGGTGTCAGCTGCCCGCCAGCAGGGGGCGCTCCCGCACAGGGTGTGTTAGCCGGTGTCAGCTGCCCGCCAGCAGGGGGCGCTCCCGCACAGGGTGTGTTAGCCGGTGTCAGCTGCCCGCCAGCAGGGGGCGCTCCCGCACAGGGTGTGTTAGCCGGTGTCAGCTGCCCGCCAGCAGGGGGCGCTCCCGCACAGGGTGTGTTAGCCGGTGTCAGCTGCCCGCCAGCAGGGGGCGCTCCCGCACAGGGTGTGTTAGCCGGTGTCAGCTGCCCGCCAGCAGGGGGCGCTCCCGCACAGGGTGTGTTAGCCGGTGTCAGCTGCCCGCCAGCAGGGGGCGCTCCCGCACAGGGTGTGTTAGCCGGTGTCAGCTGCCCGCCAGCAGGGGGCGCTCCCGCACAGGGTGTGTTAGCCGGTGTCAGCTGCCCGCCAGCAGGGGGCGCTCCCGCACAGGGTGTGTTAGCCGGTGTCAGCTGCCCGCCAGCAGGGGGCGCTCCCGCACAGGGTGTGTTAGCCGGTGTCAGCTGCCCGCCAGCAGGGGGCGCTCCCGCACAGGGTGTGTTAGCCGGTGTCAGCTGCCCGCCAGCAGGGGGCGCTCCCGCACAGGGTGTGTTAGCCGGTGTCAGCTGCCCGCCAGCAGGGGGCGCTCCCGCACAGGGTGTGTTAGCCGGTGTCAGCTGCCCGCCAGCAGGGGGCGCTCCCGCACAGGGTGTGTTAGCCGGTGTCAGCTGCCCGCCAGCAGGGGGCGCTCCCGCACAGGGTGTGTTAGCCGGTGTCAGCTGCCCGCCAGCAGGGGGCGCTCCCGCACAGGGTGTGTTAGCCGGTGTCAGCTGCCCGCCAGCAGGGGGCGCTCCCGCACAGGGTGTGTTAGCCGGTGTCAGCTGCCCGCCAGCAGGGGGCGCTCCCGCACAGGGTGTGTTAGCCGGTGTCAGCTGCCCGCCAGCAGGGGGCGCTCCCGCACAGGGTGTGTTAGCCGGTGTCAGCTGCCCGCCAGCAGGGGGCGCTCCCGCACCAGGTTGTGTTGGGAGAACAAGGCAAGTGGCGCAGGGAGCGCCCAGGTCCCCGCATGAAGGCGCCCCCTACCCAACCATTCACCTTTCCGGGCAACGGGCTCATGAGCCCCCCTTCCTCTCTCCGGGTACCGTGGGGCTGCCCCACTTCGCCCAGCGGGTCCGCGGTGCCCGGCCGGGAGCCCTGCTGGCCCGGGTTCATCGTTCGCAGCACCCCTGGGCCGCGCTGCAGGACTGGCCGTGGCCCACGCGGGCAGCATTTCGGTAGCCGGAGGGATGGGGCCGCGCGCAGAGCCCCGCTGGCGGGGGCACAGACCCGTGCAGGGACAGAGGGCAGGGCCCACTCACCCCCCAGGACAACAATCTTCTTGCGGGTGTCTTCACTCAGGAAGTGCTTGATGAGGTTGTAGGCCACAGGGAAGAGCTTGGGAGCTGCAGGGGTGGGAGAGCAGCCTTCCCCCCCGCCAGCCTCTCCTCCTGGCCTCCCACCTCTGGCTAGGAGCCCCGCGGCCGCCTCGCCCTGCTGGGCATGCCCACGCTGGCACATGGTGCATCTCCTGGCTGACTTGGGGTCTCCTGCTGCCTACTAGCACCGAGCCCCAGGTGGCAAAGGCCGAGGGGCTGCACAGTGCCCCTCCCGCCTGTGTGTCCGTGTGTCTGCCCCCTGGGGCAGAGTCATGCATGCGGCACCTCAGCAGTCCCAGCTCCCGCCTGCGTGTCCATGTGCGTGTGTGTCTGTGTGCACACCGGTGTCTGTGTCCGTGTGCCTGTGTGTCCGTGTGCCTGTGTGTCCGTGTGCCTGTGTGTCCGTGTGCCTGTGTGTCCGTGTGCCTGTGTGTCCGTGTGCCTGTGTGTCCGTGTGCCTGTGTGTCCGTGTGCCTGTGTGTCCGTGTGCCTGTGTGTCCGTGTGTCTGTGCGTGTGTCTGTGTCCGCACGGGTAACTGTGTCTGTGCGTGTGTCTGTGTCCGTA